CCCCAGCTTACATTAAAGATAGAAGGCAAGTTCTTTAGGGGCGTCTTAGATTCTGGAGCAGATGTCTCTGTCCTCTCAGATAAATTCTGGCCCCCCCACTTGGCCGAAAGAGGAAGGGACAATGACCCTCCAGGGAATAGGACAGGCTGTGCCCCAAAAAAAGCCTCAGAATCCTAAAGTGGCAAGACTCTGAGGGCCACACAGGGCTTTTCCAGCCATATGTTTTGCCTGGCCTCCCTATTAACCTCTGGGGACGGGACCTCATGCAAGAAATGGGAGTGGTCCTCACCACCCAGGCACCCAAGTCCAAAAGCAGGGGCCCCCAGATGACGCAAGGGAGGGGCTGGAGCCCGGGGAGGGAACTAGGTAAACTAGAACAGGGAGAGGTTTGCCCTGTGGCATCCCTCCCTTTGGAGACCAGGGCCCCAGGGGATAGGAAGGGTTTTGGCCATTTTTGATGAGGGTCACTGTTGCGCCGCCAGCCCCCATACCCATCACATGGCTATCAGATGATCCGGTATGGGTGGAACAGTGGCCCTTACCAGCGGAGAAACTAAGGGCGGCTCACCAGCTAGTTCAAGAACAATTGGAGGCAGGTCATTTGGTTCCTTCCACGTCCCCTTGGAATACCCCTATATTTGTAATAAAAAATCTTCAGGGAAATGGAGGTTACTACAAGACTTGAGGGCCGTGAATGCGACCATGCAGCCTATGGGGGCTCTGCAGCCTGGCTTGCCCGTGCCTGTGGCCATTCCTAAAGACTGGCATTTGATTGTCATTGATTTGAAGGATTGCTTCTTTTCTATTCCCTTGCATTCTCAAGATAGTCCTCGGTTTGCATTTAGCCTTCCTTCGATTAACTTTAGGGAGCCTGCCCTTCGCTTCCAATGGGTGGTGCTCCCCCAAGGGATGGCTAATAGTCCAACTATATGCCAGATTTATGTAGCTGCCTGTTTAGATCCCCTCAGACGTAAGTTCCCTGACCTTTACATTATCCACTACATGGATGATATTCTTTTGGCCACGGCCGAAGGGGAAGTGGGTTTCTGCTCAAGGTCTGGTGTCCCCACAACTCTTCATGACTTTTGTCTTGTTTTCTTCTGGCTGCTGTCGCCATCTGCTTTAGTAATTCTGTAGTCCCTGTTGCCCTTCCCCCGCCCCCTGACCCCTGCTCTTCCCAGAACAGTCAGTCTCCTTCATGTCCTACAGGTTTCGTGGTTCCATAGTACTTCCTGCAAGAGCCTGTTCCCCCAGGGTCTGCTGCATCTGCCCCCACCTGCATCCTGTCATGTGTGTGTTTTGGCTTTACTATTGCATCTCAGTTTCCTGCCCTTTGCTGGGGAGGACAGGGGAGGATCTTGGCTATCTCAGTCGGTGCCTGGTCCCCAGGGATTTGATCCACACGTTTCATATCCACTCCATGAAAACCTGTAAAATAGTGAAATTTCAGCTCCCAGACTCCTCTCTGTTCCTCCATCAGCCTCCTCCTTCATCCGTGAAGATCAATAGCAACAAAAGTGTTCAAAGCAGCCAGGACCGCACACTGTGGTGCTTGTCTGGGACTAGAGGGCGGGATTCTGTGTCACTCTGAGACCCAAACAGTCAAGAGTACTACTGGTGACCCGAGGTTGGAAGCAACATCTCTAATTCTTCAAGAACCTTCCTCCTAGCTTAGAGCGGTATACAGTCGACGAGAGAGGGAAGGAAAAGAGAATGGCAAGGAAGGGTTCCAAACCATCTCCCAGTGGAATTTCATTGGCAATCACATCTGGTTTCTGTGGAACTGAGAGTAGGTGAGGGGCTGGTCAGGGCAGTGGAGACTGGAAATGATTTTCAGATTCTTTGCCCTGGTGCCCATGTGAGATGTAGACCAGAGGGATCTGGAATACCGTTTCTTTCCTCATATCCATGTCCAAGTTTGCTGAGAGGGAGATTCCCCCAACCCAGGACTGGGTGGGGGACAGGGCATAAGTGGGCAGGGGTAGCCACAATGTGTAGCTTTTCCTAGAGGTGAGAGAAGCCCCTATCTGGGCAAAGAGGAACCCAGCAACAAGGCCATGTGAGGCTGGCTGCCTCCCTCAGCCCCTAGGTCACAACAGCCCTGTGGTTCATCTGGGTGGTGTTCTGGGATATTTGTACACTATGTGAAGATGTATTTGCTGTAATTGGTGTAATAAAGAGCCAAATGGCCAATAGCTAGGCAGGAGAGGATAGGCAGGACTTCCAGGCAGAGACAGGAAGTCAGAGGGATGAATCTAAGCATACATGAGATGCCAGGGGACATGGAACAAGTCAGACATACAAGACCGAGGAAAGATAACCAAGCCAAGTGATAGAATGTAGACTAATAGAGACAGGTTAATTAAGTTACAAGAACTAATTTTTAAAAGCCTAAGCTAAAGACAAGTTTTAATAATTAATAATAAGCTTCTGTGCCCAGACTGATGCCTGGGAATCCAGCATGGGACTGATCAAGACCCCCTGAATGTGGGTGTCAGTGAGAAGGCCTAGGTAATCTATTGAGCCTTAGGTAGTAGATCAGTATTTATCCCAGGTATACAAATGGACTTTGGACTCCCATCCAACAATGTGAGATGCACTCTCACCCTGAACTCTTGGGGGAGGGTCCAGGCCCTGTCCTGGATGAAATGACAGACTATGGACACCCCCCTTGGAGGGCCTCATCCTCCCTAGGGAAATGAGGGGATATTGGAGGGGGTTGGTGGGAGGGCAGGGGAGGAGGGGAGGGAAACGGAGAGGGACCTGGAACTGACATGTGAAGCAACCTTGTTTCTAATTTAAATTTAAATTTAAAAATAAAAAATATCTTAAAAAAAATAAGCTTCTGTGTTGTCATTTTTCATTGGGCTGGCAGCCCAAAGAAAAGTCCAACACCAATGGTGTCCAACATGGAGGCTTAAATATCCACATAGGGCCTGAATAAGTGGTCTCTCAGGTAGGTTCAACATACAGAGGTGTGGCTCTTTTAAGAGACTCTGATGTACAGCCAAGCACTTGAGCAGCTGGCATTGGGTACAGACACTGCCGCAAGAGGACACAACAAATTCCAGAGCGAGGGCAGGTAAATACGGTTCCAGGGCTTGTGTCTGCCAACATGAGGTTTGGCTCTCACAGAACCAAGAGGGGCAGAACCAGCTGCCAGTGCACCATATGCTAAGCAAAACTGTGTGAAGATAGTCTGGCAGATTTGGCTCATGTGGTCAGAGAAGGCTGCAGATGCATGTGCACAGAGAAACAGACACACACAAGCACATAGTCACGTGCGCACACACACACACACACACACACACACACACACACACACACACACACAGCCAGGCACAGGCCAAGAAAACCTCTGAACAGGTTACAGTGTGTTTAAAAATAAACTTAGATGCTAAAGAAAGAAAAATGGGTATAGACAGCCACCGAAAAATAAATAAAATAGTTTAAAAATAATAAAATAAAGTCTTTAAAGATAGAGTAAAGTAATATAAAAAAAGCTATGGAAAAATGGAAAATATGAGCCTGGTCTACAGAGTGAGTTCCAGGACAGCCTCCAAAACAATACAGAGAGAAACCCTGTCTCAGAAAACCAAAAAAAAAAAAAAAAAAAAAAAAAAAAGGAAAATATACAGGACCCCTGGATCCTATATGTTGCTTTGTTAACTTTGAATTTTTTTAATGCTAATAAAAAAAACAATAGCTACTGAGAGACATTGGATTATGGAAACTGCTAAATAAACCAATTTATATGTTTTTAAAATGTCTTAACTTCAGAATGGAAGTCAGGAAATATGCTGAGTTGGGGGAGAGGTTATACCTTTGTTTCCACAGGAAACAAAAAGCTATGGATTTCGTCAAAATTAATAAAGATCAGATTTGACTGGGGGAGACCTCCTAAAAATCTTGGCTATAGACATGAGAAGGAAATCAGGAAAGACTACAGTGACATTTATCACGTATGCTGATCCCTCTACATGGGAACAGCTCTGAGACTGGATGAAACATGACAAATCTTGTTGGCTACAGCGTCCTCATGACTTATTATTACATGTCATCCTTTCACATGGCATGGATAGAGATTTACATTACAGTTTGGTTATACAGTCCAAGCAGACTTATAAAATTATAAAGTTGGTAGATGCCTGTTACCTGTTCAAACATAGAATACAAAATCATCATTAGCTGACTTATGCACAGTGAATATCCCATACTTGTATTAATGCAGATATGTGTGTTACCTTTAAAAGTTAGTTTTCAGAAAGAAAAAAAGTACCAGACACCAATAAAGACAAGTTGCCCAGGTGACCCATCCTCTCAGAATGCCTCTGTTATAGATTCCTCAAAATTCTGCATCCATAACAACTTCAAAGCTGCTAGCTGAGACGGTCCAGCTTCATGCATTACTCTAGCCAGGACTTCAGTTAAGCCCTGCACTTTCCCATTATACAGAGACTGGACAGTTCTCCCAGGACTTGACCATTATCCCAATTTTCTCAGGGTCCCCTAAAGATGCCATTGCCCACCAACAACAGGAAGCAGTCTACAGAACACGGTGCTCACATCCCCAAGAGGTGGGGTGGATGGTCTTTGATCATTTGGTAGATGTTTGTCATAGTTTAGGGGGGTTAGTTACAAGTTTGTTATTGGTCATGGTCCGGGGAGAAACTAAGCAAAGGATATTAGATTTAGGGATCTCATTCTGAAAAGAAAAAGGAGGGATATGGAATGATAGGATAAAAGGGTAGATTATTGAATCTACGTTTAGAATAAAATCAACTACAAGTCTAAAATATTTTACATTGATATGAATTTTTGTTTATTGATACAAATTTAAGGATATTTTTGTTGTACTGTATATATGTTTCTACTCTTGTTTATCGTACCATGCAACTCCTTTAAAAATGTAAAGTTCTAGGGCTGGAGAGATGACTCAGAGGCTAAAAGCATTGGCTGTTCTTCCAAAGGTCCTGAGTTCAATTCCTAGCAACCACACGGTGGCTCACAACCATCTATGATGAGATCTGGTGCCCTCTTCTGTCCTGCAGGCAAACATGAAGGCAGAACATTGTATACATAATAAATAAATACAATCTTTAAAAAATGTAAAGTTCTAATCCTTGAAAGTTATTTATAATGATAAGAAAAGTGTGTTAATAGTTACCCATCTGTAGCAATCAAATTTGTGGTCATGTTAGGAATGTTTTCAATGTTTTAGATAGATATATGGTCTTCAAACACTTCAGAGACCTACAAAATATGGCATTTAAGATGTTTTAATAACATAAGGCTTTTCATGACAGTGAAACATATCTGCTCCTGGAAGCACAAATTTACTTTAAAGAAGAATGATGGACATCGAAGAACCTCGATATGGAGTTTGCTTTTATTTGTGGCAAAGTTACCCACTGGGAAAGAAGCTTTCCTTCCCTCAGCTGCTGAAAAAAAATGTTGTCTAAATTGGACAATCAGGACACAAAAGAAAGTGACTGCTGAACTTTGCAAAGACAGGGTAGATAGTCCTTCAAAATCCAGCTCTACAGAAAAGTCTGTCAGATATTCTAGGCCAGTAAGATGAAGACAGATGCCCCAATGGGTGACTGTCCATGAAGCCAGCTGTCTTTGTCATTTGTACAGTTTGGGAAGGTGTTTGCTCTGCACTTCCTATTTACTTAAGCAATATTATATCCTTCTCAGGTCTCTGATGGAGTTGAAGGTGAGATAGTTATAGTTACAGTTTTCCTTGTTACCAAATTCAGAAGAAAAAAACCTTATATGAAAGATGTAAAGTTTATAAGGTTGAGAAATATAAAAGATTAAGTTATTTATCTAAGAAGATGTTTTAAGATCTAAAAGCAGAGCTGGAGAGATGGCTCAGCAGTTAAGAGCACTGACTGTTCTTCCGGAGGTCCTGAGTTCAATTCCCGCCAACCACATGGTGGCTCACAACCACCTTGAATGAGATATGGTGCCCTCCTCTGGCATGCAGGCAGAAGGCTGTATATGCAATAAATAAATAAAATATTTTAAAAAGAAGATCTAAAAACATACTACTACAAGTGACATGCAGACAGTCAAGGCTGTAGTGCCTCTGGAGGAGACTGCTGATAAGTGAAATGGATGACATTTTCCCTTGCTCTGCTGTCACAAAAAGATCTCCTGGTCCATCTTCCAAGGAGCAATGCATTTCCTTCATCTCTAGGAATTGGGTGCTCTCCTGTACCTGTATCTCCTGAGACCACAGGGCACCGGTATGTGTAGTCCTAAGTTCAGGTCTATTGGGGAGCAAGAGCCCCGGGTGGGAAGACTTCAGTCCTGCTGCCTCTTACGGAGACCCTTGCCTTGTTGCTCCTAGGCCTGCCCTTCAGGGCAAGGTCTTCCTGACCACAAAATTGCTATAATCCAGGCCTATCATGATCTTCTAAAGAGGAAAGAGGAAGAGAAGAGAGCCCTCAAGGCATGAAGGAGATACCTTGACTGTTGAGAACTGCTGTTTCTTGCTATCAGGGATCTTGTGTGTGTGTGTGTGTGTGTGCGTGCGTGCGTGCGTGCGTGTGTGTGTGTGTGTGTGTGTGTGTGTGTGTGTGTGTGTGTGATTTTTTTTGGAGACAGGGTTTCTCTGTGTAACAACTCTGGCTGTCCTGGAACTCATCTATAGATCAGACTGGCCTCAAAGTCACAGAGATCGGCCTGCCTCTGCCTCCCAAATGCTGGGATTGGAGGCATGTACCACTAATGCCCAGGAACTATTGGGGATCCCTAGTACCCTCCTGCTCATGCAACTAACCTAGGCTCACTATAAAAACCAAAGATGTAACTGTGGGCGGGTGCAAACATCAGTCTGTGCCTTTTCTGCAGACAGAAGAGCTCTGTGAGTAGCTCTGTCTGTGGACTCCAGCACAGGACTTTGTTAATCACTGTGTATTTCATCCCAGTTTAACCAATGGACAGTTCTCTGCTCCAGTATCCCTAGACATGTACACTGACGGTATATGAATGGAAATAAGCTAGGACTTACACAGTAAGCCTTGTCAAGCCTCCAAATACAAGTGGCTTGGTAAATTGAGTGAATGTAAGATCCCTTTGAACTGGGTCTTGCTAGAGAAGAGCTTGGAAGACACTCCTACTCTGTCCCTTCAGGGCTGGAGGGTGTGCAGGGTCTCTCTCATCCACAGCACCACAGAACTGCATCTCATCTATCTATCTATCTATCTATCTATCTATCTATCTATCTATCTATCTATCTATAATCCTTATTTCCATGTATCTATAATCTATCTTTCCATCTATCATCTATCTTTCCATCTATCTGTCTATCTATCATCTATCTATAATCCATCTTTCATCTACCTATTATCTATCTATCTATCATCTGCCTATCTTCCCATCTATCTGTATGTGGAGACAGGTCTATCATCTGCCTATCTTCCCATCATCTATCTGTATGTGGAGACAGGTCTATCATCTGCCTATCTTCCCATCTATCTGTATGTGGAGACAGGTCTATCATCTGCCTATCTTCCCATCTATCTGTATGTGGAGACAGGTCTATCATCTGCCTATCTTCCCATCTATCTGTATGTGGAGACAGGTCTATCATCTGCCTATCTTCCCATCTATCTGTATGTGGAGACAGGTCTATCATCTGCCTATCTTCCCATCTATCTGTATGTGGAGACAGGTCTATCATCTGCCTATCTTCCCATCTATCTGTATGTGGAGACAGGTCTATCATCTGCCTATCTTCCCATCTATCTGTATGTGGAGACAGGTCTATCATCTGCCTATCTTCCCATCTATCTGTATGTGGAGACAGGTCTATCATCTGCCTATCTTCCCATCTATCTGTATGTGGAGACAGGTCTATCATCTGCCTATCTTCCCATCTATCTGTATGTGGAGACAGGTCTATCATCTGCCTATCTTCCCATCTATCTGTATGTGGAGACAGGTCTATCATCTGCCTATCTTCCCATCTATCTGTATGTGGAGACAGGTCTATCATCTGCCTATCTTCCCATCTATCTGTATGTGGAGACAGGTCTATCATCTGCCTATCTTCCCATCTATCTGTATGTGGAGACAGGTCTATCATCTGCCTATCTTCCCATCTATCTGTATGTGGAGACAGGTCTATCATCTGCCTATCTTCCCATCTATCTGTGTGTGGAGACAGGTCTATCATCTGCCTATCTTCCCATCTATCTGTATGTGGAGACAGGTCTATCATCTGCCTATCTTCCCATCTATCTGTGTGTGGAGACAGGTCTATCATCTGCCTATCTTCCCATCTATCTGTATGTGGAGACAGGTCTATCATCTGCCTATCTTCCCATCTATCTGTATGTGGAGACAGGTCTATCATCTGCCTATCTTCCCATCTATCTGTATGTGGAGACAGGTCTATCATCTGCCTATCTTCCCATCTATCTGTATGTGGAGACAGGTCTATCATCTGCCTATCTTCCCATCTATCTGTATGTGGAGACAGGTCTATCATCTGCCTATCTTCCCATCTATCTGTATGTGGAGACAGGTCTATCATCTGCCTATCTTCCCATCTATCTGTATGTGGAGACAGGTCTATCATCTGCCTATCTTCCCATCTATCTGTATGTGGAGACAGGTCTATCATCTGCCTATCTTCCCATCTATCTGTATGTGGAGACAGGTCTATCATCTGCCTATCTTCCCATCTATCTGTATGTGGAGACAGGTCTATCATCTGCCTATCTTCCCATCTATCTGTATGTGGAGACAGGTCTATCATCTGCCTATCTTCCCATCTATCTGTATGTGGAGACAGGTCTATCATCTGCCTATCTTCCCATCTATCTGTATGTGGAGACAGGTCTATCATCTGCCTATCTTCCCATCTATCTGTATGTGGAGACAGGTCTATCATCTGCCTATCTTCCCATCTATCTGTATGTGGAGACAGGTCTATCATCTGCCTATCTTCCCATCTATCTGTATGTGGAGACAGGTCTATCATCTGCCTATCTTCCCATCTATCTGTATGTGGAGACAGGTCTATCATCTGCCTATCTTCCCATCTATCTGTATGTGGAGACAGGTCTATCATCTGCCTATCTTCCCATCTATCTGTATGTGGAGACAGGTCTATCATCTGCCTATCTTCCCATCTATCTGTATGTGGAGACAGGTCTATCATCTGCCTATCTTCCCATCTATCTGTATGTGGAGACAGGTCTATCATCTGCCTATCTTCCCATCTATCTGTATGTGGAGACAGGTCTATCATCTGCCTATCTTCCCATCTATCTGTATGTGGAGACAGGTCTATCATCTGCCTATCTTCCCATCTATCTGTATGTGGAGACAGGTCTATCATCTGCCTATCTTCCCATCTATCTGTATGTGGAGACAGGTCTATCATCTGCCTATCTTCCCATCTATCTGTATGTGGAGACAGGTCTATCATCTGCCTATCTTCCCATCTATCTGTATGTGGAGACAGGTCTATCATCTGCCTATCTTCCCATCTATCTGTATGTGGAGACAGGTCTATCATCTGCCTATCTTCCCATCTATCTGTGTGTGGAGACAGGTCTATCATCTGCCTATCTTCCCATCTATCTGTATGTGGAGACAGGTCTATCATCTGCCTATCTTCCCATCTATCTGTATGTGGAGACAGGTCTATCATCTGCCTATCTTCCCATCTATCTGTATGTGGAGACAGGTCTATCATCTGCCTATCTTCCCATCTATCTGTATGTGGAGACAGGTCTATCATCTGCCTATCTTCCCATCTATCTGTATGTGGAGACAGGTCTATCATCTGCCTATCTTCCCATCTATCTGTATGTGGAGACAGGTCTATCATCTGCCTATCTTCCCATCTATCTGTATGTGGAGACAGGTCTATCATCTGCCTATCTTCCCATCTATCTGTATGTGGAGACAGGTCTATCATCTGCCTATCTTCCCATCTATCTGTATGTGGAGACAGGTCTATCATCTGCCTATCTTCCCATCTATCTGTATGTGGAGACAGGTCTATCATCTGCCTATCTTCCCATCTATCTGTATGTGGAGACAGGTCTATCATCTGCCTATCTTCCCATCTATCTGTATGTGGAGACAGGTCTATCATCTGCCTATCTTCCCATCTATCTGTATGTGGAGACAGGTCTATCATCTGCCTATCTTCCCATCTATCTGTATGTGGAGACAGGTCTATCATCTGCCTATCTTCCCATCTATCTGTATGTGGAGACAGGTCTATCATCTGCCTATCTTCCCATCTATCTGTATGTGGAGACAGGTCTATCATCTGCCTATCTTCCCATCTATCTGTATGTGGAGACAGGTCTATCATCTGCCTATCTTCCCATCTATCTGTATGTGGAGACAGGTCTATCATCTGCCTATCTTCCCATCTATCTGTATGTGGAGACAGGTCTATCATCTGCCTATCTTCCCATCTATCTGTATGTGGAGACAGGTCTATCATCTGCCTATCTTCCCATCTATCTGTATGTGGAGACAGGTCTATCATCTGCCTATCTTCCCATCTATCTGTATGTGGAGACAGGTCTATCATCTGCCTATCTTCCCATCTATCTGTGTGTGGAGACAGGTCTATCATCTGCCTATCTTCCCATCTATCTGTATGTGGAGACAGGTCTATCATCTGCCTATCTTCCCATCTATCTGTATGTGGAGACAGGTCTATCATCTGCCTATCTTCCCATCTATCTGTGTGTGGAGACAGGTCTATCATCTGCCTATCTTCCCATCTATCTGTATGTGGAGACAGGTCTATCATCTGCCTATCTTCCCATCTATCTGTATGTGGAGACAGGTCTATCATCTGCCTATCTTCCCATCTATCTGTATGTGGAGACAGGTCTATCATCTGCCTATCTTCCCATCTATCTGTATGTGGAGACAGGTCTATCATCTGCCTATCTTCCCATCTATCTGTATGTGGAGACAGGTCTATCATCTGCCTATCTTCCCATCTATCTGTATGTGGAGACAGGTCTATCATCTGCCTATCTTCCCATCTATCTGTATGTGGAGACAGGTCTATCATCTGCCTATCTTCCCATCTATCTGTATGTGGAGACAGGTCTATCATCTGCCTATCTTCCCATCTATCTGTATGTGGAGACAGGTCTATCATCTGCCTATCTTCCCATCTATCTGTATGTGGAGACAGGTCTATCATCTGCCTATCTTCCCATCTATCTGTATGTGGAGACAGGTCTATCATCTGCCTATCTTCCCATCTATCTGTATGTGGAGACAGGTCTATCATCTGCCTATCTTCCCATCTATCTGTATGTGGAGACAGGTCTATCATCTGCCTATCTTCCCATCTATCTGTGTGTGGAGACAGGTCTATCATCTGCCTATCTTCCCATCTATCTGTATGTGGAGACAGGTCTATCATCTGCCTATCTTCCCATCTATCTGTGTGTGGAGACAGGTCTATCATCTGCCTATCTTCCCATCTATCTGTGTGTGGAGACAGGTCTATCATCTGCCTATCTTCCCATCTATCTGTATGTGGAGACAGGTCTATCATCTGCCTATCTTCCCATCTATCTGTATGTGGAGACAGGTCTATCATCTGCCTATCTTCCCATCTATCTGTATGTGGAGACAGGTCTATCATCTGCCTATCTTCCCATCTATCTGTATGTGGAGACAGGTCTATCATCTGCCTATCTTCCCATCTATCTGTATGTGGAGACAGGTCTATCATCTGCCTATCTTCCCATCTATCTGTATGTGGAGACAGGTCTATCATCTGCCTATCTTCCCATCTATCTGTATGTGGAGACAGGTCTATCATCTGCCTATCTTCCCATCTATCTGTGTGTGGAGACAGGTCTATCATCTGCCTATCTTCCCATCTATCTGTATGTGGAGACAGGTCTATCATCTGCCTATCTTCCCATCTATCTGTATGTGGAGACAGGTCTATCATCTGCCTATCTTCCCATCTATCTGTATGTGGAGACAGGTCTATCATCTGCCTATCTTCCCATCTATCTGTATGTGGAGACAGGTCTATCATCTGCCTATCTTCCCATCTATCTGTATGTGGAGACAGGTCTATCATCTGCCTATCTTCCCATCTATCTGTATGTGGAGACAGGTCTATCATCTGCCTATCTTCCCATCTATCTGTATGTGGAGACAGGTCTATCATCTGCCTATCTTCCCATCTATCTGTATGTGGAGACAGGTCTATCATCTGCCTATCTTCCCATCTATCTGTATGTGGAGACAGGTCTATCATCTGCCTATCTTCCCATCTATCTGTATGTGGAGACAGGTCTATCATCTGCCTATCTTCCCATCTATCTGTATGTGGAGACAGGTCTATCATCTGCCTATCTTCCCATCTATCTGTATGTGGAGACAGGTCTATCATCTGCCTATCTTCCCATCTATCTGTATGTGGAGACAGGTCTATCATCTGCCTATCTTCCCATCTATCTGTATGTGGAGACAGGTCTATCATCTGCCTATCTTCCCATCTATCTGTATGTGGACACAGGTCTATCATAGCCCACCTGATGAACCTCTTTTGAATCTTCATTGCAGCTGGAAGACTACTCCTCCACCTCCATAAGGGCCAGGCCTCCTAATCCCCTGCAGGGAAGTTCTCATCTTGTGGTTGGAATGGTAGGATATGAAGTCCTCGAGATGTGTTAGGTAGCAGAAGGGGGTTTCTGTTAATCTGTTCAATTGACAACATCAAGGCTGAAACACACACACACACACTCACACACACAGATACACACACAGACACAGACACATACACGCAATTTGTCTTTCTATCTGCACAGATAGACATGGATATAGATTAGATATATGTCACAGGAGGTAAGTACCTACCAATTAATTTCAAGATTATTTCCATAGGCACTATTAAATATATTACACTAAAGCAATGCAACTAGTAAATCATGATATTATGGAATTGGCAGTAACTACTGTGTTCTTCTCAAATGCCCTGGTGTGAATGGTTTCAGAAAGCTCCAAATATGTTCTCCTAGGTCTGGTTAAAAAAATAAAAGTGGGCCGGGCGTTGGTGGCACACGCCTTTAATCCCAGCACTCGGGAGGCAGAAGCAGGAGGATCTCTGTGAGTTCGAGACCAGCCTGGACTACCAAGCGAGTTCCAGGACAGACTCCAAAAGCCACAGAGAAACCCTGTCTCGAAAAACCAAAAACAAAAAAAAATAATAATAATAAAAATAAAAGTGGAAGACAGATATTGTGGCACACCTATAGTCCCAGGACTTGGGAGGTCACAATAGTGAGTTCCAGGCCAGCCAAGATTACATCTGAGACACTGTCTCAAAAAAAATTAGTAAATAAAATAAATCAAAAGGAACAAAAGAGTCAGGTATAATATCATTAACCCCAGTACTAAGGAGCCTGAGGCAGAGGAGTCCTGAATTTGAGACTGGCCTGGGCTGCACTTTGAGATCCTGTCTCAATCAACCAGTTTAAAAGAAAAAAAAAAAGACTAAACACAAGATAATAAATGTGCTACAATAGTTGGATAATTACAACAAATGTGCACATTTACTTGGGGGAAATGCATGAATTATGATAATTAATGAGATCTAATGAAATAGCTTTAACCAGCAGTATGGACTTTGTCCCTGGCTCTAGAAGACATTCAGGGTGGTCTAGCTCACTGACAGAGTCCTGGATGGTAGAGTCCTGCAGAATTTCTCCTGTGGAACCGTCAAAGGAGAGGCTGAGCCACCTGGCTTTCTAGAGCTGAATTTCAAAGCTGATGGTTTATCCTGGTGTGTGGCTGCTGCTTTATTGCTTGAAGTCTTGTGCACAGTTGACTCAAATAAACAGCACATGCATCAACCTTAATAAATTCGGTGCTGAAAGCCAGGCGTTGGGGACGCAAGCCATTAATCCCAGCACTCGGGAGGCAGAGGCAGGCGGATCTCTGTGAGTTCGAGACCAGCCTGGTCTACGAGAGCTAGTTCCAGGAGAGCCTCCAATGCCACAGAGAAACCCTGTCTCAAAAAAACAACTAAATGGGGGCTGGAGAGATGGTTCAGGGGTTAAGAACACTGCCTGTTCTTCCAGAGGTCCTGAGTTCAATTCCCAGCAACCACATGGTGGCTCACAACCATCTGTTATGAGATCTGGTGCCCTCTTCTGGCCTGCAGGGATACATGCAGGCAGAACACTGTATGCATAATAAATAAAAACCTTTAAAAAAAGATTTAAGCCGGGCGTTGGTGGCGCACGCCTTTAATCCCAGCACTCGGGAGGCAGAGGCAGGTGGATCTCTGTGAGTTCGAGGCCAGCCTGGTCTACAAGAGCTAGTTCCAGGAGAGCCTCCAAAGTCACAGAGAAACCCTGTCTCGAAAAACCAAAAAAAAAAAAAAAAAAAAAGATTTAAAAACAAATAAATAAATTCGGTGCTGACATCTGTCAGTCACATATATCAGAGTTCCCTCAGGGAAAATTCACCAGAGGCCAAAGCAGTATAGAAACAAGGGGTGGCCGGCGGTGGTGGCCCAACCTTTAACCCCAGCACTCGGGATGCAGAGTGAGTTCCAGGTCAGCCTGGTCTACAGTGCTAGTTCCAGGACGGCTAAGGTTGTTGCACAGAGAAACTCTGTCTCAAAAAACAAAAATCACACAAAACTAAAAAGAAACAAGGGGTGGAAACTGTAAGGGAGACAGTTTCCTGTCGGCCTCCAGTCTGTGTCTCTCGTGAGAAGAGGCTCTGCTTGCCTTTGATCATTTCAAGGGTGTTTGTGTGACCAGTAACTACGAAAGATGCTGTCACAGGAAACACATCTCCTCCATCTCAACTCCCACCCGACCCTGCTTCCTCACCCCAGCCCATCTCCTAGAACACTTGCGCGGTTCTGTGCTTCCGGTTCCTACCCAGCAACCCTCCTTATCCTTCCTGCTAGGGTTTAGGGATTTCACTGCTGCTGATTCGCTGGGTTACCCCAGGACACACCTCCCGTTTAGCATCTCGGCTATTTGAACCTCGCAGTAAATAAACTTTTTCTGTGCACTCTGCTGAAGCCCTGCTGTGAGCAATGGCAGTCTTCTCTTACCCCTTCTCCTCCACCTCCCCACTTCCCCTCTTCCTCCCTCCCTCATTTTTCTCCCGTGAGAGACCCAGCGATGATCACGAATGAATTCTAAACTGCAAGCTTTGCAGATACGGTGCTCTCTCTCCCTCAGCCTTACCTTTCCTTATTTGTTCTTTGCTTTCTTCATTTTTCTTTCTTCTTGACTCAACTCCCCTTTGGCCTTCAGGGCTGTCTTCAAGATAGCCTCTGGGGCACTGCCATAGTGGACACACACTGTGGGAAGGTTCTAGAAGCCCCACACACTATGACCTACTCCATTCCATAGACCAAAAGGAAATGTTTGGACAACCGTGAAAGAGTCTTGGTCAGGACGGGGCCTTATAAAAAGACCTCCTGAAGCTTAGCCATGGACTGCAGTCTGCTTCATGTTACCAACTCAGGGTTATGCTGGCTCTCCGCTGAGAGGGGACAGATGCCATCAGTGGTGTCATTCAGACCCCTCAGCCCGGTCTGAATGGGGGTATTATGGAGGGGGTTCTTGTAAAACATAGTGCTGTTCTGTATGCAAACCTTCCATTCATTTGCCCAACAGACGAGTCTGTGTCTCGTCACATGACTGTTGTTCCCATCCCTAGGGGCTGTTCCGGATGCCACGGCCGCCCATAGTCAGCTTCAAAGCCCCATATGGCTGGTCCTTCTCAGCTTGTCCTCTCTTTCCACAAGATAACTAGGCAGCTGCAGCCTTCCCTTCCTGTCCCTTCCACATTACATGGCTCAAGGTCTCCCAAAGCTGGCCACCATGTCTACTAGGCAAGTTAACCCAGCTACTTTTGCACACAGTAAATAAAAAGACATACCTATGGCTCCTGTCCAGTGTATCAAAGCTTCTTATAGCAACAGCTAGGACTTCAGAGCTCTGTGAGAACACCACATTGATGGGGCAGGATGGCTCAAGCTGGACATGGAGGCTAATTCACCCACTACAGCTCTATCTGCAGCTTGAATTAACCATTTATGTGTTAGATATGCACAGAGAGACAGAGAGACAACCTAAAGGTCACAAGCGAGAGAAAACATAATAAATCTCTTTTTGAGTCTGACTTTTTCACTAATAAAATGGTCTCCAGTTTCATCAAACTTCCTAGCAAATAATGTGACTTTTAAAAGATTTATTATCTTGTTTCATGTGTATGAATGTTCTGCATGTATGTATATGCATTGTGTGCATGCCTGGGGCCCACAGATGACAGAGAGGGTTATATGTGGATTTTAATAGTTGAACAAAACACATTGCCATCAAAGCACAAATCATTGAAAATGAGAATGTGTGGGTGTTAATTAACTAGCACTATGATTTGAAATGAGGATTTGTTTTGAAGTTAAAGCTGATACTGAATCTTGGCTTTTTCACTAATCCATTCTATATTTGTATCACTTCCTGAGCCTCAGTTTCCTTGTCCATAAAAAGGAGTAATAGTTGGGGCTATAGAGATGGCTCAGTGGTTAAGAACTTGCCAAGGGCCTGAGTTCAGTTCTCAGCATCCAGATAGGGATTCTCACATTCATCTGTAACTCCAGTTCCCAAGGACTTGCCAGCCGCACGGGCATGTGCACACACACAGATACACATCCCACATGCACACACACACAGATATACATGTACACATCCCACATGGATACACATGTACATACCCCACACAGGTAAATATGCAGACACACACCCACACAGATACACATGCAGACACCCCGCAAATTTACACATGCACACACCCCACAGAGATACACATGCATGCAACGCCTGCTGTGCATCCTGTATCAAAGAATGTGGCGAGGGTATTGGGATTGATGACACAGAGACCAGTCGGTTGCGTTAAGAAAATTTTATGCTCCCCAAGAAGGCTCAAGAGAACTTCCCAAGAAATGCTTCCCTCCAGAAAAGCTTCTCACACACACACACACACACACACACACACACACACACACACATCCCCCTTCCTCCTCCTGGATGGTGGTTAAATCCCTGACACCAGAATCAGCAGTAGCAGCAGGGAGCAGGAAGAGGTGGCTAGCAATTGGAAAGATCAAAGTCAGGGTGTTTCAGTGAAAGAGCCCTTATCAGGAACTTATAGCTCCGGTAAACATTTCTTAGGGCACTGGATTGTTTTGAGTAAACATGTTTTCAGTAAACATTGTCTCACAGCTGCCTGCTCCCAGGCTGATGGAGAAGTGGGTTTCTGGCCAAGGTCTGTTGTTCCCACATATGTACACACCCCACAGAGACACACATGCAGACAAACACCCACACAGATACACATGGAGACACCCCACACAGATACATGTAGAATTAATTCTCTTTGGTTTTAATTATAAAAACCCAGAGTCAAATATTAGGTGATGAAAACTGAGAGGTCAGAGAAGCAGAGCAGTCAGACACTAGAGAGACCTTTACCTCTACCAAATCCTCAGACTGAAGAGGCAATCCTGTCTCCACAGTCCTCAGGCTGCCCTCCTAGACTGCCTGGACTGCCCTGAGATCCTGTCTCCTCCTCCTTATAGTCCTCTCTCTGCCCAGTCATATCCCTTCCTGTCTCCCCCTTCATAGTGCTGGGGTTAAAGGTGTGTCTCTCCAAGCGCTGGGATCACCTTGTGTGAGCTCTGTTTCTCTTTTAGACTGGATCAATTTCGTGTGCCTTGAACTAACAGAGATCCCTCTGCCTCTGTCTACTGAGTCCTGGGATTAAAGGTGTGTACCACTACTGCCTGGACTCTATGGCTAACTAGTGTGGCTAGCTTGGCACTCTGATCTTCAGGCAAGCTTTATTTGTTATAGCATGAACAAAATATCACAACAGATACACATGACACACCCCTACACAGATACACATGCATACACCCATAACTTAAAATGAAAGTAAATAGCTTTAAACTATAATGATAAAAATAATAATATACGTGTGTGTGATCAGAGGAATTACTTTTGTGTTTACCAGTTGAATTACTCCTATGTCTGTCTAAAAAGTCTTATGGATGTCACAACAACAATCATGAATCTCTCTACTCTCTTCCTTTGTGGAGAAAAATAAAGTTTTCTGGACCCCATCTTCTTTTTTTTTTCTTTTTGTTTTGCTTTTTGAGATAGGGTTTCTCTGTATTGTTTTGGAGGCTGTCCTGGAACTCGCTCTGTAGACCAGGCTGGCCTCGAACTCACAGAGATCCGCCTACCTCTGCCTCCCCAGTGCTGGGATTAAAGGCGTGCACCACCAACGCCCAGCTTCTGGACCCCATTTTCATTGCATTCTCAATAGCAACAACTGCTGATGCTTCTAGACCTGCGAGATGGAGTGACAGCCATTTCAAGGTTCACAATCTGTGTGCTAAACACTCTTGGTGTAGCCTGACATCAGTTTTGTTGAGCTAACAGACCGGAAGCTAACAGTGCAAACTCATGGAGATCCAACTAAATATATGCAATGAAAAGCATGTTCATTGGGTGGCAAAAGACCAAATTTTATTAAAACAATCTCCAAATTTTATTGATAAACATGGATTCTAAAAGGCCCCTTAAGTCCACTCAGAGACCAGGTCTTTACAAACCTTATTTTATAGTACGGGTGCTGCTTTTTGTTTCTGTAGATAGGTACATTGCTCTTCTCTTCAAAGGAAAATTTGAGAAAAGACTGCATGTTATTATGTTTCCTGGGCGAAATGGTGCAGCCGAAATACCTTGCAATGTTTAAAGCAAGACCAGGAAGATCTGAATCCTTTCTGGCATGCACATACTTTAAAATATGTGCATTTTAAAGCCAGAGGGAAATTCTATGAAAACAAAATCCAATGTCTGAGATCTTGATGTTAAGCAAACTCACACTTGGCGACGTTTGGAATAATAGCCTGGCCTCCGCGCATGCAGAGGGTGACTCGGCACCTGGCACATAGTCACCACGGGATGTTGGGGTGTACCACAGCAGAGAGTGGGGCATTGGGAAGGGATGCTTCACAGCAGAGGGACTGGGGCTTAAGTAACTTCCAGCGGAGGGACCTGGCGCCGTGTGTCCTCTAGGGGCCAGGGAAGCGGGCCGCTCTCAGCTGACATTTGTCCGCCTTTCCGCCTCATCTGGATTGTTCCGCAGCCTCAGCTTTGTTTCCAGCCTCTGCTTCCATTCTTCCCGGAGTCTGGAAACAGAAACATGCACAGATGGGGCCTCTTCTCTACAGCTGTGGCTCTGGGAAGCCCCTCCCGCTTCCTCCCTGAGACCCTTTGTGTGTTCAGGTTTTAGGAGGGGGTGCACAGGACTTGCAAATCAAATACAAATGCGTATTTATCTACACAGGTGAAAAGGAGCAGACCCACTTTCTGATTTGGGGGGTTTCTGTTTGCACATGTGTGTGTGTCTGTGTGTCTGTGTGTGTATGTCTGTGTGTGTGTATGTCTGTGTGCACATGTGTGTGTATGTCTGTGTGTGTGTGTCTGTGTGTGTGTGTGTCTGTGTGTGTGTATGTCTGTGTCTGTGTGTATGTCTGTGTGTGTGTGTATGTCTGTGTGTGTATGTCTGTATGTGTGTCTGTGTGTCTGTGTGTGTATGTCTGTGTGTGTGTATGTCTGTGTGCACATGTGTGTGTATGTCTGTGTGTGTGTGTCTGTGTGTGTGTGTCTGTGTGTGTATGTCTGTGTCTGTGTGTATGTCTGTGTGTGTGTGTGTATGTCTGTGTGTGTATGTCTGTATGTGTGTCTGTGTGTCTGTGTGTGTATGTCTGTGTGTGTGTATGTCTGTGTGCACATGTGTGTGTATGTCTGTGTGTGTGTGTCTGTGTGTGTATGTCTGTGTCTGTATGTGTGTGTGTATGTCTGTGTCTGTGTGTGTGTGTCTGTCTGTGTCTGTATGTGTGTGTCTGTGTGTGTGTGTCTGTGTCTGTGTGTGTGTGTATGTCTGTGTGTGTGTATGTCTGTATGTGTGTCTGTGTGTCTGTATGTGTATGTCTGTGTGTGTGTATGTGTATGTCTGTGTGTGTGTGTCTGTGTGTATGTCTGTGTTTGTGTGTCTGTGTGTGTATGTCTGTGTGTGTGTATGTGTATGTCTGTGTCTGTATGTGTGTGTGTATGTGTGTCTCAGGGTACATGCAGAGGCCAGAAATTGATGTGGGTGTCAGGTGTCTTATTTGTTGTTCTCTACCTTATCTTTAAGTTTAAAATTTTTTATGTGTATGAATGTTTTGTCTGCACGCATGTCTATGCATCATGCACATGCCTGGTACCTCCAGAGACCAGAAGAAGGAACTGAATCCCCTGGAACTAGAGTTACAGATGTTTGTGAGTCACCATGTGGGTGCTGGGAATCAAACCTGGATCCTCTGGAGGGGCAGCCGGTGCTCTTAACCACTGAGCCATCTCTCTAGCACCCACTTTACGGGATCTCTCACTAAACTGGAGCTGGCCAGTTCAGCTAGACTGCCAGCCAAGCAGGCCTCAGTGATCCTCCTGTCTCCATCTCCCCAGCACTGGGATAACCGGTGTGCACTGCTGTTCCTGGACTCTTTGTGTCTGGGCTGGGCCTTGAACTCAGGTCCTTTACCAACTGATCCATCTCCTCAGTCCATTTTGTAGCTGTTTTTTCCCTCCCTCCCTCCTTCCCTCTTTTCTTTTTTTTTAAGATTTATTTATTTATTACATATACAGTGCTCTGCCTACATGCCAGAAGAGGGCACCAGATTAAATTGTAGATGGTTGTGAGCCACCATGCGGGTGCTGGGAATTGAACTCATGACTTCTGGAACAGCAGTCAGTGCTCTTAACCTCTGAGCCATCTCTCCAGCCCCCCCTTCCCTCTTTTCTATTTTTAGCAGTTTAATGTTGCCCAGACTTGCCTCAGAGCCATCTCCAGTTCTGAATTTATTTATTTTTATTTTATGTGCATTGGTGTTTTGCCATGGGTGCTGCCATGTGGGTGTTAGGAATTGAACCTGGGTCCTCTGGAAGAACAGTCAGTGCTCTTAACCACTGAGCCATCTTATATTTTAAGACTTACTTTTACTAATTTTAAGTGTGTGTCTGTGTTTGTGTGTGTGTGGGGGCGGTATTCAAGGAAGCCAGAGACTTTGAGTCCCCTGGAGCTGGAGTTACAGATAGTTGTGAACCCCTACCCACATGGTTGCTAACCACAGTCTGTAACTCCAGTTCCAAAGGATCCAGCACCCTCTTCTGGCCTCCAGGGCACCGCATGCACAGGATGCCCAGATACGCAGCAAAACATCCATACACATAAAACAGAAAGACGTAAATCTTTTCAGAATGTATTAAAACAGACTTGTGGCTGCATACTTTCTCAGCGCGCTCCTTCCTAGGCGATGCTCCTCAGACTCGCGGTAGTACGTCTGTTTGCCAATCTCCCTCTCCCAGAAACGTTTGAGCTCGTGGCAGGTGTTCCCACAGAAGACCTCTCGGCGGACGTACTGACTGTTCATCCCCTGGAAAAGAAAAGAGGCACTGAAGTCCTCCCAGGCACGGTCCCTGGGATTGCACAGGATGCTGCGGCCATTGGAATCCAGACTCGCTGTTTCCTTCAGACGCAGCCACAGAACCAGAGTCACCTAGCCTTCCGAGAGCAGCCCTCGTCAGGGTGCAGTAAGACTGAAGATGGAGGGTCTGAGCACCGAGAGGGTCGTGCACCTGGGCAGCAGTGTGTCACTGGCCCGGAGGGGATGTCTGCCATTCAGTGCTCAGCAGCAAGCACAGGCACGTGGGCTGTGGATTTTGGACACCCACCTGAGGGGTGACAGAAATCGCCTGTGTCGCATACTTCTGAAAGGTTCAAGCCCTCTGCTAAAGAGGCTTGCTGCAGAGAATGATCCCAGGTTTTGACACACCCAACTGCGAGCTGTTTACAGGCTGTATGCGCACATGTGGGCACCTTATAGGAACTTACACATGCTAGATAACCAAAGTGCTCACTTTTTTTTTTAAAGATAGGGTATCAGTGCAAGACTCTGAATGGCCTGGAACCTGATGATCTATAACTTGTAGATCAGGTTGTCCTCAAAATCATAAAGACCCACTCAAAGTACCTCTGTAGTACTGAGATTCCTTTTGTTTTGTTTTCTAAGACAGTGTTTCTCTGTGTAGCCCTGGCTGTCCTGGAACTTACTCTATAGGCCAGGGTGGCCTTGAACTCACAGAGATCTGCCTGCCTCTGTCTCCTGGGTGCTGGCATTAAAGTCATGCACCACCATTGCCTATTAAAAAAAAAGATTTGGGGGGCTGGAGAGATGGCTCAGAGGTTAAGAGCACTGACTGCTCTGCCAGAGGTCCTGAGTTCAATTCCCAGCAACCACATGGTGGCTCACAACCATCTACAATTCAATCTGCTGCATGCCTTCTTCTGGTATGTAGACAAACTGTATCTGTAATAAATAAATAAATCTTTAAAAAAAAGATTTGAAAAACCAAAAAATAAAATTATTTTTATGTACATTGGTGTTTTATTGCATGTTTCTCTGTGTGAGGTTGTTAGAGTCTCTGGAACTGGAGTTACAGACAGCTGTGAGCTGCCATGTGGGTGCTGGGAATTGAACCTGAGTCCTCTGGAAGAGCAGCCAGTGCTCTTAACTGCTGAGCCATCTCTCCAGCTTCATTTCTTTCTTTCTTTCTTTTTTATAACACAAAGAAACTGCCCAATTCCCAGAGTGCAGTAGGCCCAGCAGACAAGACACAACTAAGATGGCCGTGTGTTCAAGGCCAATCTGGGCTACACGGAGGTTACCACTCCAGTTAGGGCTGCATCGAAAGTCCCTATCCCAACTGGGCGAGGACAGCAGCTGCCCCCATTTGCTAGTCTAGACTCACACAACAAAAAATAAAAAACTAAATGTTAAAATATTTTTTAATTTAAAATACTAATTTTAAATTAAAAATTAAAAAATTTTCCAGACATAGTGGTATATACTTTTCTTTAATCCCAGCACTTAAGAGGCAGAGGCAGGTTCTCAGAGAGTTTGACTCCAGCCTGGTCTACATAACCAAAGTACATAGTGAGGCCTTGCTTCAAAAAAAGAAAATCTGTGGGTCCCACTTTTCTTATCTTCAATATTTCTCTCAAGTTCAAATTTGATTATAGATTTACAGTGCGTTGTCACCTATCAAGTTTTGAATACACTTGCAAGCTGAATATCTTATCCAAAATGCTTGGGGCCAGAAGTGGTTAAAGATTTTTGAATATTTACATATGCATAATGGGATGTTTTCCCAATTCTGAACATGAAATTCATTTATGTTTTGTGCATGCCTTATGCACATAGCATGGATGCAATTTCAGGCACCGTTTTAGAGAATTTTATGCATGAAACAATTTCATGATGTGGGATTTTCCACTTGTAGCAATGTGTCAGCACTCAAAATTTTTTGAATTTTTTTAAACAGGGTCTCTAGCCCAGGCTGGCTTGTAATGGCCCACGTAGCTGAGGGTGACCTTGAACTTCTGAATCTCTTGTTCTTACCTCCTGAGTACTAGGGCTACTAGAATTGTGCACTACAATCCCTGAGTTGGGATTTGGGGTTTTGGGAGATAAGTGTCTCACTATATTGCCTAGGCTAGTCTTGAACTTCTGGGAGCACCTCACCACCCTTCCCAGGGCTAAGACCTCAGGTTTTCTAAGAATATTTTCTGGTGATCATCAAAGCTAACGACTTGTAACTGACGTCTCAAAATAGAGGCCATTTCCTCCATTGTACTCAGCGCTGCTTGGCTTCCTGGATATAAGACTCGTTTTCCCTGTGCCCAGTCCGCTGCTCACTGACTAGTAATGCTTTGGTGACAGGGCAACTATTCTTTCTAGGTTAAACAATGTCACTCAATAGCCTATACCCAGAGGAGCATCAGGGAAGGCTCTGTCCCTCTGCACTTGCAAGACTGTCATAGACCCAGAAGTATTCCAGGCATGTATGAAGGTGTAGCAAAGTCCCAGGCAGCTAGATGGCTCACAGCTTTTTTCTGAGTTGGATCCCCGGGCCCAACATGGTGGAGAGAGACAACTGCCTCCTTCAAGATGCCTTCTGCTTTCACTTTCAAACTCCCTCAACTTCTTTTTTTTTTTTTTTTTTTTTTTGGTTTTTCGAGACAGGGTTTCTCTGTATTGTTTTGGAGCCTGTCCTGGAACTCACTCGGTAGACCAGGCTGGTCTCAAACTCACAGTGATCCGCCTGTCTCTGCCTCCCAAGTGCTGGGATTAAAGGCGTGCGCCACCAACGCCCGCCCCTCAACTTCTTAATCTGTTTTTGTTGTCACTGTCACTATGAGAAGAACTGTAGCAGTTGCTGTCAGTAACTGTGCAGCTTCAAGAAAATAAACTCAGGGGCTGGAGAGATGGCTCACAGGTTAAGAGCACTGGCTGCTCTTCCAGAGGACCTAAGTTCAGTTCCCAGCACCCACATGGTGTCCCCCAACCAACGGTAACTCCAGTTCCAGAGGGTCTGGTGCCCTCTTCTGACCTCTGCAGGCACCGGACACACATGTGGCGAGCAGCCAAACATGTGAGCACAGCGTTCATGTAAGTAAAATAAAATAAACACACTTTTTTAGAAAAGAAAACGAATCAATAACGACCTTAGGAACACACTTTCAGGACAATATGAAAGCAAGGGACTAGAGTCAATTAAAGATATCTACCCCCATCCACCTCATCCCCAAGACTGTCACTGGGATAAGACAGGGTTCCTGCCCTGAGGTGACTTCAGCTATAATGGATACTTATCACAGATATGGACACCTCTGTGACAGCTGTTGGGGTAGGAGTCTGGACAATCTGAGCCCACACTCTGGTCTGAGGGGCTTGTGGGTGCTTCTGGGGATGGAACATGCATGTAGGCTGACAGACGGGAGTGACCTAGGAGGGAAGGTGATCTGTTCAGGGACTCTGCTGAGTCACAGCCACATCTACAGACATGGACAGAGTGTGCTGGGTGGACTGGGGACAGAAACTTACAGCAGAAGTGCCTGGGTACTTTGTAAGTTTATGAAAACATGCTATACCCTTGTTTATAATTATGGTTGGGTAGCTGTATGCAATTGTTAACATTTGCCAACCTGTATACTAAAAATGTTTGGTTCCATAAAGGTAGAGAAGTGTTTTGTTTTCTATCTTGAGATTCACTCCTGCCGCCTTGTTCTCACCCATGGGGATGTGAGGGGGTACTTCAGAATTAGCATCTCATCTCTAGGGACAGCACATCTGTTACAGGGCATGTGTTTCCTGTGTTTGTGTTTTGGTTTCCTGACTTTTACAAAAAGACCAACTGCTCACACTCCTTGCAGAAGTGTGAGGTAGAAGTGCTAATTGTCCGAAAACTCTTTGGGAACACAGGAGACTATTCTAGAGAAATAAATTGCTCCCTCTGTCTCTTCAGCTGAGGATTATCAGTGGCCAGACTGCCCAGCAGTTATTCTGTTAATTGTCCTGCTTGCCGACAGTCACTGTGGCACCATTCCCCCAGATTAAGCAATGCTTCAACCACAGCATTCATTCAGCTACAGAAAACTTGAACTTACAGCATCTGTGAGGCATCTATTCTGCATGAGGAGCCCACTCATGTTCTCTGAGACAAATGAGAGAAAAGAAAGCTTGTCCCTGTGAGTCCAAAGCCGCGCCAGCAATTTAATCCTTAGGTCTCAGGTTACTTAGAGCATTAGGTCTAAATGAAGGAATGTAAGCCGGTCTTTTTCTTTCTTTCTTTTTTTTTGAGTTTTGGCTTATCCTGGTCATTCTTGACTCTTGGCTAGAGTGCCTCATTGTTTGCATATTGGATTGTGCATACCAACAGCAAACTTCTTGCATGGCCAACACTTGCTAATAGCAACTATTTTATCAGGATTATTTTCACATTTCTGAAAATGTTTAGCTACTTCAGATTCTTCTTACTGTTTTGACTATTTTTAAAGATTTATTTTTATTTTATGTCTAAGATGTTTGCCTGTGTATATGTATATGCACTGTATGCATGGAGCATCCAAGGAGACTGGGAGAGGGTGTTAGAAACCCTGGAACTGTAGAGCCAGCTGCGAATCACCCAGTGTGGGTGCTGAGATCGAATCCAGGTCGTCTGTAAGAGCACCCAGTGATCCAACCTCCCGACCTTTCCTCCCTTTCTTTCTTTCTTTTTTTTTTTTTTTTTTTTTTTTTTTTTTTTTTGGTTTTTTGAGACAGGGTTTCTCTGTATTGTTTTGGAGTCTATCCTGGCACTCACTCTGTAGACCAGGCTGGCCTCGAACTCAACAGAAATCCCCCTACCTCTGCCTCCCGAGTGTTGGGATTAAAGGCGTGCACCACCACCACCCGGCCCCCATCTTTCTTCTTGTGTGTGTGTGTGTGTGTGTGTGTGTGTGTGTGTGTGTGTGTGTGAGAGAGAGAGAGACAGAGACAGAGACAGAGACAGAGACAGAGAGAGACACAGAGGCAGACAGGGACAGAGACAG